TTTTTTTTTGGTTTTTCTCCGGTACCGGGAACCGAACTCACGACCTTGCGCTTGCCAGGCAGGCGCTTTTGCCGCTGAGCTAAATCCCCAGCCCCCTATAAAAATGCTATCCTTGCGGGGCATGGTACATGCCTGTAGTCCCAGCACTGGGGAGGCTGAGGCAGGAGGATCACCACGGGTTCCAGGCCAGCCTGGGCTACATAGATCCTGTCTGAAAAACAAAACAAATCAAAACAACAGCAAACCCTGAGCGCTCTGTAGCAAGCCCGGCGTTGGCGGGCTCGCCTCAGGCTTCCCTCCTCCTCCTCTCCTCTCCCGACTCCACGCTGAGTCACTGAGCTGCCAGGCTGGGCTGGAACTTGTCATCCTCCTGCCTCAGCCTCCGCAGTGCTGGGAAGGCAGGCATGCGGTGCCATGGCACGCAGCGCCACGCCGGCTCTTGCCTTTCTGGTTCTCCCCCATCTTCTTCTAAGACAACCGAAGACGGCTGGGCCTGGCCCCTACACGGCCGGCCGGGCGAGAGCGCAGCTGGGTCAGCGCTGGGGCAGGCGCTGCCGCGGCTTCAGGAGGAGAGGTGGAGCCTGCCCGGGAGAGGCACCCTCTGAGGGCAGAGGAGGCGGCGGGCAGGCAGTTCCCCAGACGCACAGGTGCGGCCAGCCTCGGACAGAGAACCCTGGGGAAAACTGTGCTGAACACAGACACGCGTCCCTTGTCACGACCCCTAACAGCCTGGGGCAGTTTGGTACCCAGCAGCTACGTCCTGCCAGGCACTGATGTCCTAAAGTATGGGGTGGTGCGGGGCAGGAGGCTGAGGCAGGAGGATCTCTGTGAGATGGAGGCCAGCCCGGGCTGCATGGTGTGCTTAGGCCCAGGCTGAACGATGTAACAAGACTGTCTCCAAAGAAAAAACAAGACAAACAAAAAAAAAATGAAAAAAGAAAAAGAAAAAAAAGAAATAGCAGTAGCGCCCAGGACTACTGCATGGTTCCAAACCTGAAGGTTTTGGCCTCAAACTGCACTTCTTTATTGTTAT